TAAAATTATTCTTTATACCTTTTGAGCTTATTTTTGGATATTATTTTTATGTGGCCTCTTAACTTTTCAATACTATATTTTGTACTTTAGATAATGATCCTGATTTTATTTATCTCTTCATTACTAATTTGAATGCTTTGCAATATTTATCACTCTAATTTGTATTTTTGTACAAATGATTAAATTTAGTATTGCATAAGTCGTTAAATTTGAGACACAAATTTATTCAATAAAATATTCTTATGGTTCCAATCTGTTCAAATCAATAATCGACGAATAAAGTGATATAGGGGTCGTAGTTTCCTAGAACAAAATATATTTTACACAAACTCTACATATATACGATCCAAAACCATATAGAATATGTATAATTGGGAGATCTGCACACTCTTTCTATCTTTTTTTTTTTTTTAATTTAGCTTTTTGTAATTTGGAGAGACAATGAAAGTTAGTTTTCCTAGGATTATTAAAGAATTGAGTTTAAATTGCTGATTATTTGATGAATTGATTTGAACTTACGTTACATTTATTTAATATGACAAGCTTATTTTAATTTTCTTAATTTTATTGAAAATAAATAATACTACAATGTGTCATATAAATGTTGACTTTTTGTGTTTTATTCAACTACAAGTTTCTTGTAGCTTCACTAATTAACCCCCCCTTGATAAACAATCCTGGCTTCGTGCCAGCCCCTCTTCCCTTTAATTAAAGTGGTAGCAAAACTCAATCCCAAACTTTTCTTATATGAGATTTTAGTAAGAGTTGATTGATGACGAGCATGAATTATAAATAGTAGACATGTTAGTGGCATTTTTCATCTTAGAAGAAAAAATAAGACCAAAATTGAGATATAATTGTCTTTATAATATAAATTAAAAAAAATTTACTTTTTACTTCCTAAAATTTTAATTTTTTCACATTATACTCTCAATTTATTAAAAAATTACAATATGGCCATCCCATTTTTTTATTTGCTAAAACTCACCCCATTGACTTAATGAAATGAGCAAAGAAAACTAATGCAAGGATCACATTATAACTCTTTTAGTACATTGATAATAAAGTGTATAAAATCTAATATTAGAGGATACAAAATGAGAATTCTTAAATATTTCAAGCTATAAAGTACAATGGATAAAGCTCTGTTACATAAATTTGTTTACAAGATATGATATCCCAAGTGATATGTCAAAATCTCATATATTGAATATTTGGTAGAGTTAGTGGACCCTATTAATCTTACAACCTGCATTGATTTGAGATACAAAATTTTGTCAACATAACATTACTCAGGTGCAATTGGTAATATTAATTAAAAATAAAATAAAAATTGAAATTTATGTTGGTCTAATTTATTAACATTAGTTATTTCTCGTACCTGAAGGCACAGCGTAATAAAAAATATTCAATAATAAACATATTTGTATTCACACTCAAAATTAAATCATAAAAAATAATAATTTAATTACTGATTGTAGTGGGAATGAACGGTGATAGTGATAGTGGGATGGCAATAATGGAAAACGGTGATGATTGTACTGGGTGGCGACGATCGCAATAGTAGTGGCACCCGTGGTTTGCAAGGAATATGGTGGTAATATTTTTTGGATAACAATGGTGGTAGTGATAGTCATGAGTGAGGACAATTTTGGTGATAAGTATGAGTGATGATGATTGACAGTGGTAGTAGTAAGACAACAACGGTAGTGGTGGCATGGTGGATAGTGACGATGGTGGTGGTAGATGACGAGAGAGTTCTAATAGTTGATGTAATTTATAATCAATTCACATGTTTCACCAAATTAAATCAATAAATTATATCACTAGTTTAGGTACTAATGTCATTCCTCTATGATTTAACTCGAAACAAATGGAGCTGACAATGGCGGCCCTCTTTGTTGATACGATTATTGGTCAAAAATTTGGGAAACAGAAAGATGAAAGAAAAAAGGAAAAACAACTGAAAAGAAGGCAGAGAGCCAGACACAGAGAGGGAGACGACAGAAAAAGTTGAGAAGGTGAGAATTGACGGAATTTACGAACATAAAAGACGGTGGAGAGAGAGAGAGAGAGCTGGCAACGGCCCCCCACCCCAACGCCTTCTTCCTCCACCCCATATTCTTCAATCTTCACAGCCATCCCTAATCCGCTATATATCTTTCTCCGAGTCTCTCTCACTCGACCATTGTTTCAAGACACGCACACACACACATACCACTGTTACGCGCACACATTAATTTCACGGACCCCTCGGTTCTTTGATTTTTCTTCCTCGACTCCATTCTCACTATCATGGGTATCCTTTCTGCGTCTTTATCATAGGAGAGAGAAAGAGACATAAAGAAGGCGGAGGGAGAGAGGAGAGAGAGAGAGAGTCGGTGAATAAACATGAGGTCCCTACTGGTTCATTCTTGGCGGGCAGCAACGGTCACTTTCAATGATTTTGGCCGTGGGTGCTTGTGAATTGTGGCTCCGCTCAATGACAACCCATCATCTCGTCGCTCTTGCCAATTGTTTTCGATCTTTATCTTGGTATTGATCGAAAAACGCTATTCACCGTCCTTCAGTCGAAGCCAAAGTAGTTGTTCTATTTGTGATCTCAAAACTCGAACTTTGCGTTGGTTACGTACTCCAACAAGTGTGTTTAAGCTTCTGGGGTTCTTGGGCCGAAGGGGAACTAGCAGATCTCAGTCACATGAAGGGTTCTTTTACTGTGAGTTGTCTTCAATTCCATTGCATTCACTGTTCTCAACTTCCTCTTTCGGTTTACTCATCCACATTTTTTGTGTCTTCTGTTGAGGAGTCTTGACGGTTTGATCTTTCTCTCCGTAGCACTGACTGTGAAAAGTAACAGCATCTTGAACGGTTGTTCTGTTTTTTCCCCATTCAATTTAACGACAACAATGTTTAGGTCGGGAATGCGTCTTTAGATGAACCAAGAAATGACTTTTGAAATTATTCTTTTCAGCCATAAATTAAGGGAGAAAAAACTGAAATTTGTTTGGATCTAACCTAGAAATTTGCATAAATTTTTCTTTCTTAATTTTTCCTATATGGGTGATTGTGGACTGTGGAGATCTTAATTAAAAGTTATTTATTTCTAGCTTCCTGGAATTGATTTCTTATCTCGAGTAAAATGCAGCTACTCGCTCTTAATAGCTTTCCTGTTAATTTGGCATAAAATCTTTGATCATCAACCATAAAATTCTCTCTTAGTTTGTTTTTGAGACTAGATATTCACAATTTTTATACTGTGAATATTTTGCTTGTTTTAGGAAATTATTGTTCTTGTAGGTTCATTTGAGTTACTTTTAGCATCTGTTGGATTACAGAATGCATCAAGAAAGAATTGCTTACAGTCAGATGACATTGTCATATTGTGACACTGACTGATATTGTCTATCAAACAGCTGGTGGATGTGCTTCTGGTACTCGCCTTGTTGAATGAAGCTACATTGACTGTCAAGGGCAGGCCACATTGCAAACAGACAAATTCAGGAGTTTTTCGACCTCACAGTGTCTCAATCAGCGAGTTTGGTGCAGTAGGTGATGGGCAAACCCTCAACACCAAAGCATTTCAGAATGCCATCTTCTATCTCAATTCCTTTGCCGACAAAGGGGGGCCCAGCTTTTTGTCCCAGCTGGCCGGTGGTTAACAGGAAGCTTCGTTCTCATCAGTCATCTAACTTTGCGCTTAGATAAGGATGCTACAATTCTTGGATCCACGGTGAGCCTTCTCCTCATTGTGTAAGCATTTTAACACCACAAGATTTTCGTAAATATGTCAATAATTGGTTCTCCCTCTTCTAAGTGAAATGCTATCAATTTTCCCATCTAACTGAAATCTATTAATAAGCTAACCTATTTGAGCTGCCTAGTAGATGGAAAAGTAGGATGTCTTTACTAATTGTAACAATCAATAAAAGTAATGAATATGAGTAATATTTCTACTCAATCAAGTGCTTATCCATGCCAGTAAGCTGAATTTACCTGCATTATGACAAATGACGGAAATGTTCAAATTTGTGGTGCAAGGATTGCTACTTACTCATCAACCTCTAAACTCTTAAAATCTTTGCTTAGATCGATGGATTCATTCCAAGTCCCACTGGCCAGTGCTTTCTGCTGTGACCGTTGATATTATGTCTCATCACATATAATAATATGAATTAGCTTGTCTTGCATTTTCAGAACTCTGATGATTGGCCACTTACTGATCCCCTACCGTCATATGGCCGAGGTAGGGAGTTACCTGGTGGAAGGCATCGAAGCCTCCTTTATGGAAACAATTTGACTGATGTTGTTATAACAGGTTGATGATATTTATAAAGGATTATGTTCTCTTCATGCTGTCTTGTTTTCTTCCCTGCCATTCAAAACTTTCTCTATGCAGGTGATAATGGAACTATTGATGGTCAGGGCACAGTCTGGTGGAATTGGTTCCGAAATGAGACCTTGGATTATACCAGGCCTCATTTGGTTGAGTTGATGAACTCAAATGGTGTCTTCATCTCAAACCTGACCTTCCTTAATTCACCTTTCTGGAATATCCACCCAGTGTACTGCAGGTCTGTATGCTCCAGAAAAATTAAAGAACATTTCTTTTCCTTGTTCATTAACCTTCAGAGTTTTCTATTACCAATTTAAAACTGCACAAAAGCCAAGTTTTATGATTAGGAGAGTTGAGACTCTTTTTCTGGATGTACAGCCAAGTTAGAGTCCAAAATGTAACAATCATTGCTCCTCTTGATTCACCAAACACAGACGGGATTGATCCAGGCAAGCTTTCTTTAAGGCTGGATTTTTTTCCCCCTTTGTACTTACGGTGATATGCAGTATTCTAGTTCCAGTCTTAGTTATTAAGAAGTTTCACACGGTCTTTCAATTTTCTCTCTCTTAGTTAGTTATTAACACAGCTAGTGTTCATACCTTAAACAATCTGGTAGTGCAATAATTCTTGAATTATTTATTCTTTTTTGTTTTAATAATGACCAAAATTAGCTCTTAAAACTGAACATAAACAGAATGTGTTACGACCCCAAATATCTTCAAGAGATTACCTGGTAAATGGGGCTCAGTTCAGTATGCTCTCCAAAATTGACCCCTATAATGCAAATCAATTTGCATACAGAGAGTGCTCCTTTTGAATTTCTGAGATGGGAGAACATTGAAAAACTTCCATTTTTAGGATAACAGAGAGCCATCCTGATCATGTTAAATTTCTGTGGAACCCGAGGTATAATCTTTTGCTCACTGCGACACATTTCTGTTCCAAAATCAAAAAAAGACAAAAAAAAAAAAAGGAAAACTGCGAGCTTTTGTGATTCTTTTGATTTCAGATTTTCCTGCTTGAATGCCATAATGTCAACTAACCTTGATGTGATTGTTGCATCAGAGTTTTGAGGCGGTGTATATTCCCATGTTTTTGGTTTCCTATGTCGTGTTTTATGAACTTTATCATTTCCGTCGATCAACTGGTTCTAAACTATGTATCAAGTTCTGACCATTTTTTAATGCGATTAGACTCTTCCAATGACGTTTGCATTGAAGACTGTTACATAAGCACTGGCGATGATCTGATTGCCATCAAAAGTGGGTGGGATGAATATGGTATTTCCTTTGCTCGTCCCAGTACTAATATTATTATTCACCGGCTTGTTGGAGAGACTCGGTCAAGCTCAGGCATTGCAATTGGAAGTGAGATGTCTGGAGGTGTATCGGAAGTTCATGCTGAAGACCTCCAATTCTTCAATTCAAATGCAGGTATTACAATAAAGACGTCTCCTGGGCGGGGTGGTTATGTGAAAAATATCTTCATATCAGATGTGACTCTAATGGATGTTAATGTTGCTATAAGGGTTATTGGCCAGTATGGAGAGCATCCGGATGAGTTTTATGACCCTAATGCTCTTCCCCTAATAGAGATGATTACCATTCAAGATGTTACAGGAGAGAATGTTAAAGTTGCAGGCCTCATGGAGGGTATAAAAGAGGATGATTTCCATAACATTTGCCTATTTAATCTCTCTCTCAGTGTAAGTTCAGGTTCCCCATGGAACTGTTCTTATATCCAAGGATATTCAGACTTGGTTTCCCCAGAGACTTGTCAGCCTCTCAAAGAGAGAATCTTTCCTGAGCATTCCTCGGATTGTTACCATTTGTCAGACCACCTGCGGAGGATGAGTAGTCGAAATGGAGGTGATCAGTTTCTCTCATGGTAAATATAACGATGTATTATAACACATTGCTAATGGTGACACACATTCTTTTGAAATTGTTTCGTCTTTAATTTGATTCTTTCCATTTCTCTGCACAACTGCCTAATTCATTGTGGGCAGTGATCTCCTGAAGCAATGTTTTTGAGTGTAGCTGCTAATGATATGTGGACTTGTTGACCTGTGAGATTATATTGAGATATGATTTGATTGTTGTAATTTTTGTGCAGCGACAAATAATCCAGTGATTTAGCAGAAGTTGGAAGTGGATAACGTTAATGCCTTCGAAGTTTATTGTCCATAATTTTATAATAAAATCCTTGTGAACATGATGCCTCCACGTTATGCTGCAATTTTTTTTTACCAGAGTCCAAACGAAAACACTAGCAGTGGTTGTGACACCCTATACCGGAAAAGAGTTAGAGAGTGGATAACCTCAACCATATATAATTTCAGAGTAATCTAATTCTGTACAATAATGTCAAAATCCATTCGTTATAATAAGAAATTGGACAAAAACATATTACATTGTACAACGTTACTACTACTAGGACACCATACTTTGTAAGCATCTTTATAACTCTTGTACATTATGACTCGTAATGTAAAATATAATCTATCCCCAACACTTCTATGTCAAGTTAGACTGCTTAGTGGATTATTTTCTTAATCTGTATACTTGTTACCACTACTAGGACACCAAATCCTTAAGCATCTTTATAATTGTTGTATATTATGACTCTTAACATAAAATATAATCTATCACCAACGCCTCTACGTCAAAGCTAGACTGCTCAGTGAATTACTTTCTTAATTTGCATACCTAAAAGCAAATAATTGTTGGGGAGGGGGAGGGGGAGCAAACAACACATTAAGTGAGCAAGGGCGGAGGGAGGCTAGGGCCAGGGTGGGCACTTAAGCCTATTTAAAATAAAAAAAATTTGAACCCACCACTATCTACTAAAACTTATTAAAAAATCAAAATTTTGAGCTATCACAATCTATTCAAACCTATTAAAAAAAATAAAACTTTTGGCCCACCATTAAAAAACAAAATTTTTGGCTCACTTGACAGACATCAGCAACACTTATCTTATTAGTTATCTTTTTTTTTTCCTCTCTGTCTCACTCACTCTTAGTTGCCCAACCAGAAGAAATAAAATAAATCTCATTCCTCAATTCTTTGGATTTTTTTGTCATTCCTTGCACAGTTGATTGGTTTAGTAGAGAGTATGGCCGAAGGCAGCATATGCCCCAGGGCCCTGTCCACCCTCAATTTTTTTTTCTTAACATTACCTATATGTATTTCAAGTATTTCTTCAATATTTTTAATTATGCTCACCCTATTTTTTTTGTACATCTATTAGTGTACACTTATATCAAATAAATATAAATTTTTTTGACACATTTTGGACATGTTATGTATCTATAGACCAAAGTGATAAAATGATGGTGTATATAAAAAATAATAAAGTAATTATGCAACGGTTTCAAAGTATGAAAATTCACCGAAGTTAATTCTAAATAATTTTAATTAGCCTATATTTTGTAAAAAAAAAAATTTGGTATCGTTTGTATATACTAAGCTTACCAAATTTTGGTATGTTGGGTTTATTGAATTTTTAAGTATTAAATAGGATATAATTAAATATAAATTATTGTCCTATTTCTATTAATTGTAAAAAAAACAAATTAGTTTATTGAAATATTTGTTCCCACCTTGACATGACTTGTTGGCTCCGCCCCTGTCAGTGAGTATATATGAAATATATTAAAAGAAAACGCATAAACGCTAAACAATTATATTTATATCTCACATACATATTTAAAATGGAATTAACATTAAATATCTAACATCAGATACCCATCAACCAATACCCAACATTCAAATAACAACATCCAAAATTTACTATCTAATATCTGATATCCCATAACAGTTAACGCCATCCGTTTTCGCTCAGGAGTTTCGGCAGTTATATTGCTACTATTTTGGCCCAGCAGTCTTGACAGTCCCATCACTATCGTTTACGCTCGACAGTCTCAGCTATTATATCGCTACGGTTTATGTCCAGTAGTCTCGATAACCTCATATTGTTAAGTTTCAATTATCAATTCAATTATTTGGAACCACACCCAACACTCATCCACAATTCTTAAGCCATTGATTCATAATCTAATCATTTCCAACTAAACATAGCTAGTAACAAATAATCACCATTTCACAGTTCATAGTTTATAACTTACCAAATTGTAAAACCCCGACCCATTTTCATGATGATATTCAGAATGGTAATAGCCGCCATTAAAAGTAAACAATACAATCTCCAAATAATAAGTAAACTCTCATACCAATTTTATATACATTTCAAGTGTTTGTCATTAACCTCAACATATAAATATACTATTCATAAGTATGATACGACTCAATCGTAGACTTATTATATTATTTTCACATACATATGTGAAGCTTTTTCACTAATTACGTGCCTCAACAACATTAATCAACATTTAGAATGAAAATCCTGAGAATTAGAAGTTCAAACTTTCGTGAACTTTCTCGTCACCTGCTAATTTAAAAAAGGGGAAATAATGCAGGGTGAACATCAACAACTTAATAAAGCAATTCAATTTCCAAAAAAAAAGAGTTTTAAAATAACATAATTTGACATGATTGGACAATATCAAAATAGTTCATTTTATATATAAGTAATAGAGTAGAAAAACATTGAACAAAAATAGTTAAGTTAAAAATAGTAATACGATTATAACATCAATACAATGCTTCATCTGTGGGTGATCATCCTAATAGACCACTCAGAGTTCATACAAACATATGATCCAACTTTTTGGGGAATTTTCACCCCGAAGAAGATACGCTCCTTAGTAACAATTTGGTATTCAAGTCTGAAGACCAAAAAGGTCACCCAAGCATTTACGAATTTAATGAGAAACCCTCTATGACCTCAACCTAGAAACCCTTCGCCACTCAACTGTTGCGCACTTACATTTAATTCCTAAAAGGATCCTGGAGTTCCATGAAGTACGAACAACACGATCATTTCGAGCATTTGTGCGAAACCACAAGGATTTTCAATAGATTCGAAATTCATCTTTTGTTTTGATTCCAGCTAGCAGCCGGCCCAATTCTATGGAATTAGCTATAAGTCAAGCTTATCAACTATCAAAGGAAAGGCCAGTTCGAAGTTGTGATTTTAATTGGCCAAAAAGTTTCTACAACTAGAGGGCACGGATCTAGCGGAAAGCGAGGAGCTCGCAATAGCTAAATCACGATCCCCGAACGAGCTCATATTGACATAAGGCTGCTGGAAGTTAAGTAAGCATTGCAAGAGCTATCTATCTAGTTTAGTATCAAGGTGATTTTGTTTTCGTTTCTATATGTATGGGTCTGTGCAACATTTCCATGATATCGTTATGATCAATTAATGGGACTTGGCCGGAAAGTGTTCTTGCCTCTATCAGTAGCTCGGGTAGTCCTCGTTTCTGGTGTTTTAGTCACCTTTCAATGACTCTCTTAATTATGTGAGAGAAATTCTCTTATTGAGTAATGGGAAATGGGTTACTTCCCAAGTCAATATTTAAAACACCTAATCATATATTTCAAAACATGTTAAAACATCATATATAACATATAGAATAATTTAAAAACAAGTTTGAAAAACATCGCCTATTCCAAAGTTGAGAAACCATACCACAAACCAAAACTTGAGTACCACATACGCCAAGTGAGAATTCAAACTTGCACTTAATGACAATTAAAATCCTTCTGTCCTTTTCTCTTATTTTATTTCTTCTATTTTCCTCTCTTCATTATATATCTCTTAATCATTTTCAATGTCACAAGTAGGGCTCATTTCCAACTTAGCATAGGAATATTCCATTCAAACCCTACTTGTATAGCATCTTTAGACATTCTGCAGATAACCTTCATGGGTTAAAATAACTCTAACTCAAGTTATATAAATCGAATTCTAACAAAATCTATGGGAGATTAACATAGACTCATAAGGATTCACTCCCACCAAAAATCACTATTTTTGCAATGAAATACATGTTCAAAGTAACTCCTAAAACTAAGCATAAGCTACAGAATTTCAGGTTTCAGCAGATCATAGTCATCTTTAGAAATTAATCAATTTTAACTTTTTCTTGTATGAAATCAAAGGGAAAAGAATGATTAACTATTGGTGAATTTTTAAAGTTAATCCTGCTGAAATAGGTCTTGTGTGTTATGAATGGAAGGTGATTTAGGGTTAATACTCTTATGCTACAGTTCTTTTTTTATTTTGAAATTTGGAGAGTTGAAAATAAGTTAAAAATAACCCTTTACGAATCTATTCATAACACCCAATTACGAAACTACAGGCTCTCTAGATTTGCCAGGACAATTTCTATAGACTAGGATTGACTTTCAAAAACCACCAAAAATAGTATATAAATCCTTTTTACTTGAAACCAAAGCTCAAAGAATCATTTGTAAATTTAGTTTATTATACCAAAGTTTCAAAACATTAAAGAGCCGTAGCTTATGAAATGAACCAGAATCTCACCTGCTGTCCAGAATTGGCAGGATGTTTTCTTCTTCTTCTTCCTCCCATTCCCAGCTGAAACTTCTCTATTCTTTCATTTGTGGTTTTTTTTCTTCCTTTATCTCCCATATTTTTCCATTACTCATCACATAGTATACCAATAAATATACCAACATGCACAACTCTCTCTACTTTAAGGCCAACATATAACCCTTCACATGGCCTTGTCACCAAAGGTGGACAAGTGTCCACTCATGCCATATTTTATTCTATACAACACCTCCTAATATCCTACACAAATCTACATATCTACACGCTCTTACGTCATTTATCCCTGTATATATATTCGGACAGAACGTGAAATGCTAGAGAAGTGGGCGTGTGGCCCACTTTCCATTCAAACTTTATTTTCTTTAATGTTTCAACTTGTATATATATATATCTATATAATAAAGTAGT